GAAATAAAACTGTGACCTCACATCGTTGGGTGTCTCCTTTTCGAACAAATTGTTGTCTGTTGCATGCCGCCCTGATTGAGCAGATGGGGTGGTGGAGATGTAATAGGGTGGGGTTAGGAGTCGGTGCTGATATGCACCATTCGTTTTCCGTGATGGATGTGAACTATAAACTCGTCTTCTTGATAAGGTACATAGCCGCTGGAGTTGGAGAAGTTTCATTATATGGGTCTGGTAATGTTCATTGCACATGTTGGTTTGGTGTAATTATTATCTTTGCGACTACAGTAAAGGTTTGATCAGTATGAATGTGATTCCTGATCCTTTTGTTTGTACAAGATGGTTGAGTTACAGATTTCATGTCTGTAATGAAGCTGGGGATTTTTAGAATGATACAACATCCCATGCTTTAGATCTAGGGCAGACACCACTTTTCCTGTTTTGAATTTCTGTGAACTGCATCGTCCTAGAGGCACCCAGAGAAACTGTAAATAACATATAAAGAGTTTTTCATCGATGCATTCTTCATTATCACTATGGATAGGGCATGCATTCTCGTCCCAGTACTGTAGTAGTTTACGAGAGCAATGTTGGTGTAAACATAATCGGGAGTTTAGCACATCAAGATATGAACAGATAAGCAGCCAGATAGGATGATGTGGTGTCTCCTTGCCTCGTGACTTCCCCCATGTATACACTTATGGGAAGTCCCCAAAGTAAGCTGTTTTCTATTTGAAACTGAGTGGCTAAAATCCAATTCTCTCAGGAGAGGTCTATGGAGGAATGTTTGAAAAACGGTGCCTGATCAATTGAGTTCAACAGGTGGTATGATATAATGTCAGGGCTTTCGTATTTAACTTAACGGCCACATTAGATATGGGTGTTACTCACCATTTCAGCTAAATTACTTGCCACTCCATGCAGATTGACAGATCCTGTTACTCCATTGATGTGATTTTCTGTGTGTTGGACTGATAGAATCTGGTGCTTAATGGATGCCATCACTATTGTGTGGCATGAAAAGATTCAGGCACCTCGCATTCACTGTCATATTCAATATTAAAACGATCGTTGCAAATTCTGTCTGAACTGCAACATCTGAACACCTATCCAGGTACCAGCCGATAATCTATGAAAGATGGTACTTTGAGTGTAACAACGTACCATTAATCTCTGCTATAGTCTGAGAAGTTTTGAACAATGTCTTCTTATGATCACTTTCCGTCGAGAATTGGACATGAGATTTGAGTTGCAGTACAGTTTTTGCATTTTTTGTTCACATTCCGACAATAGTTTTCCAAAAAATGTTTCCATTGAAATCGTCCATGATATTAATCAGAGACAGTGAGAGTGATATCAGGGTTAGGAAAGGAAGAGCATGGGGAGCATGCCACACTCTCAAAAAACTTTGGAAATCTAACCTTAGAAAGTCTATCAAGACCAGAGTGTTCACAGCACTAGTCGAGTCGGTGCTGCTATACGGTTCCGAGACTTGACTATGACAAAAAGGCTAGAGAAGATGGTTGATGGTTGCTATACACGAATGTTAAGAATGGCCCTTAACATCAATCAATATCGAGACCATGTCAGCAACCACAGCCTGTACGGTGATCTTCCCAAAGTCAGCTCCAAGATAACCCAACGAAGGCTCAGACTTGCAGGTCATGCTCACCGACATCCGGAGCTGACACTGAACAAACTGATCCTCTGGAAGCCGAGTCATGGGCACACTAACAGGGGGCGACCTTACTTAACACTACTAGATAACCTAAAAGCAGATACTGGGCTGAAATCAGTAGATGAGATAGCTAGACTGATGGAGGACAGAAAGCTGTGGAGAACTGTTGTCAATGGATCTCGGGAATACTACCCGCCTTAAGTCAAGTAAGTCAGTTGGAGAATTATAACACTTATCACTCGTAATTGTCACGTGTTCACTTCACCACGACTTTACAACCATTTAGATAGTAGTTTCATGTAGGCTATCCATTATCGGTATGAAATCTTTTATCTAGATAAACAGATAAAGATTTAGGTTTTATCTAGATAAAACCGATAAAACCGATAATTTTTCTGCTGAAGGCCAAAGCCAAAATGTTTTCCAAATTTCGCAAAAACTAATTGTCGACTTTTATTACTGTTTACCAGTGATCTTGCCAAAGTACCACTTCCTTTCTTTTGAAAATATTAGAGGATCAGTTTTCTTCTCCGGGGAGCAGAAGTGCACCAGTTTTCTTCAAAACAGTAGACCAACGGTTTTCTTCTCCTAAGAACAGTAATGTACCAGTTCTCTTTAAAACAGTAGACCAACGGTTTCCTTCTCCTGAGAACAGTAACGCACTAGTTCTCTTCAAAACAGTAGACCACCGGTTTTCTTCTCCTGAGAACAGTAACGCAATAGTTCTCTTCAAAACAGTAGACCACCGGTTTTCTTCTCCTGAGAACAGTAGTGCACCAGTTCTCTTCAAAACAGTAGACCAAGGGTTTCCTTCTCCTGAGAACAGTAGTGCACCTGTTCTCTTCAAAACAGTAGACCAAAGGTTTCCTTCTCCTGAGAACAGTAGTGCACCAAATACCGATTCTCCTCGAAACAGTAAAGCATTTTAAGTGATTCAGTGAACCGTTTACTTATCCTGTTGATAACTTGGTGCAACAGCAAACAGATTCCTTCTCCTGAATACAATGTTTCACTCCCAGAACACTTACGGAATTCAATTGAGTGCCCTGCCGGTATTTTTGACTCCTGTTAACAGTAACATGCTCGTTCCCGTCTCCAGAATGATGATGAGGTAAAACGCTAGCACCCTCAAGAGAACAATGTCAATAACCTTCTCTGGATTTCAACAATTCATACAGTTCTACAGTTCCATAGGTATGCAAATGTAAATAAACCTCTTAAGCTCACATCTAAGTAAACTACCTCTTATATCATACTAGAAGACGTTTGGGACTGTTTCTTGGATTACTTGGGAAGGCAAAAACACTAATATTTCTTTACAATTTTACGGTATTGTGGCAGTATTTTCGGTAATATCTAGTGAATTTTTATACCGATAAAAATATGTTTTATCTAGATAAACAGATAAATTATTTTAACGAATTATCGGAGATAATTATCGGTTACGATTATCGGAGTGGATAGCCTAGTTTCATGTCTCATGAATCACTCGTCACGTGTCATTCCATATATAAGTGCCGTTTTATAAATATTTAAGAGGTCATGTTCGAGCAGTTCTGTTATCTTCTATGTTACTATCATAATCTTTATATTACTTTCAAGAGTTATACCTCATAGTTATACCGTGTTTCCTTTATACGCAAACATCGTAAAACAACCTGCATCACAGCTAAAACTTCCTGCTAGTTATGCTCACCTGCTGAAAACTGCTCTATATTTATCAGCGATTAGATAATTTGAATGGCACCAACTGCCAACATCTCTGATGTGTGCTCTTACCCTGTGTTAATTGTGTTTCTGTATATTCGCTCGTTTGTTGGTAACAATTTAGTGAAAAACGTCTAGAAAATATATCCTATTTCCTTTATCTTAATCTGCACTCTGCAGTTTACTTACTTTATTTTACTTTACGTTGTTTAGCTGCAAGGCAGCAGGGTCATCTATGAAAACCACCTTTTTCTTTTACTTCGGACAACCATGGCCGACACCAGCACTTACAGGAACCCGAAGGATCGATAACTAAGGCCAGCGACGGTTAAGGTATTATGCCACACTTTCTTCGCCTGTGGCATCGGAATCCTTAGCAGAACGGCAACGCCGCTCACCCCATGGCTAGCGGCACAGGCGGGGATCGAACCCGCAACCTCGTGATTGAGAAGCATATCACGAGTAAGGCAGGTCGACTAACGAACTGCGCCACTAAGCCAGTTTAATCTTTATTTACATTCTTTTGAAATAGATTGATCTGAATTCTGATCTGAATTCTGATCTGAAGACTTAATAATTGTTGTTGAAACCTCCGGTTTTTGCAATCACAAGTGACATTTAAAAAAATTAGTTTTGTGAATAATAAGTTTACACCTGCTCACAGCTTTAAAATTTTCTTTTTGATTAGTAACTTTTACCGTTTCAACCTTCATTTGTTCACATTAACTACCACAGAATGATGATAGTTAAACTGCTGTTTCTCCTTCCTCTGGTCCTGGCTGGAGATGACAGTGGTGCCACCCCCGGTGACGGTGGTGACTCCCCCGGTGACTCCCCTGGTGCCGTATGCTATTACGTGACACAGCGTACCAAGTAGGTGACATGCTAAAAGAATATTGCTCAGACTGTTCATGTGGACTTGACGGTGAGTGGGACTGCAAAGAAAAGCCATGCTGTTTGTATGTTGATCCGACGAGTGGAACTGGCGCTACAACACGTGTTTATCCGGGAGATAGGTTTTACGATGGGTGTAGGAAGTGCATATGTAAGGCTAATCATAAGGGTGAATTGATGAGTCTGTGCAAAAAAATTGGATGTCCAGACAAATGCTCATACGAGAATTGGGATGGGCTCATAGGATACGCCAAAATAGGAGAGATGATTAACGTTAGATATTCTCCAGATAGTAAGGAAAAAGAATGTCCCAGAATCTGTGAGTGCAAGAAAAATGTCAGGGGCCTGGCTGTGGTGAGCTGTGCTTTTGATGATGGAATTATTTTAAAAGCTTGTGTCCCCCTTTAAGTTTCTAGCAGACAATTAACAGATTCTGTAATTTGTGAGCAAAACGTTCTCGTAGGTCTGGGTGCTTACCAGTAACCATGCTTCAGATACCAGTAAAATTTTACCCTGATTGATTTTATTTGCTCCTTACTCAAAGAAAGATTTCGTAAACAAATATGTAAAATGTTATTTTTTGCTTGTACCTGTCAAAACCTGGTTTTATTTTGTTTAGTAATTTATTTCCTACATGATATGTGGTTGATCAAGAAATACCTACGGTATAACAATTAAACAACGGTATAACAATTAAACAACTTAACCTGAAAAGTGAATATACCTCATACTGATAAAAGACAAGCGATCAGCTGCCAACACCAGTTCCTGGACGTTGTACACATCTATAGTAACCTGACCCGTGTATGTGTAGTCTATCAGTATCGACATTATTTCTGGGCTTACTCCTAGTGTGGAATCAAGTTGTGACATTGCGATAGTACCGCAGACACTTTGTCAATTTCAGGTGAGCATTCTTTTAAACATGAATTATAATCAGCTGTTGTCATAAACAAACAATTAATATCTGACTGGAAATTCTTTTTGAAATCTGAGGGCTACAGTTTTGTTTCAAATCATATTCTACAAAAGATCATTCATGTAACAATTTGAGCATGCAAATTTCGAAATCAATTTTTACGGGTTTTCATACCTTTTATTTCGATTTCTTCTTGATTGCACTCAGTCATGCCAGAAAGAAACATGCTGTTGAAGTACCGAGACCTGGCTGCTAGTATTACCTAAAAAACAAATAAGATCACAGCAACATCTCATCACAATACTCATCAGACTGGCAGTTGTTGGAAATAAAAACATCTAAGATTTAATAAAATTAGTACCTGACTTACCTTATGACAGGAAAACTTTGTTGTTCCTGTCACCACAACCACATCGCAGAGCAAATCCTTTTCTTTAAAATCTGACAAGGTATCCAAAAGCTGAAAATAAAGGGGTGTTTAATAATCAATTCTGTTCAAGATATATAATCTTCATTTATAAATACATTTTATTTGTGTACATGATGTAAAAGAGTTTATAAATTTCAATTAAACCTTGTATTGAAAGGGAATTATATATCCAAACTGAACTGAATATTGAATAAGGTTATAAAACAACAAAGTGGATAAAACAAAAAGTAAAATAAAAATCCCTCTCAAAACTTACACTCTGAGAGCTATTAGGCTCCTTATAGACAAAAGAGGCCATCTCACCCATCTCGTTACTCCCAGCTAAAGACAGCGATTGAAGTGGTTCAATGTTTGTTTGCTGTCCCATAGAATCATTGTCGTCATCAAGATTAACTTCAAGGGCCACTTTAGATGTAGGCTGAGTCATACAATCCTAAACGTTTATGAAATTTAGATTATCATAATAATAATAACAAGAATTGCGCCCGTTGTTTCGTTTTGGCGGACGCTAGATTTCCATTCCACATTTACTTTAAATTTAACTATAAGCTCCAATCAGCTCACTTCAATCTTCATGATAATAATATTTCAATTGACAAATTATGCATTAAATACGGGAAACACTTGAAATTCAATTCAATTAAGCTGTAGAACTTAACTTGTATCTGTAATTCAAGAAATTGTAAATGTAAGCAAAGCCAAAGGTAAACTATACTCGTGTACACATCAATACACTACGCGTGCCACGTACAGATTGGGCTCATAACCTAATATTACATATTATACATTACATCTTCACATAGCAATGTGTATACGCGTACTGCGTGACGAGAGGGCTCTGGTTAGACTTAGAGCAACATTACATTGGGGGGGTACCACTGTCCATTTTGTCCATTTTGTCTTTGTCTTTTTTTACATTTTTTTGTGAAGGACAGTGTTTTGGGGACAAAATGGACAATACTAGGGACAAAAGGGACAAAAGGGACAAAAATTTTGGACAAATGAGACAAAAAATTAGACAAGCTCAAATGTAGAGAATGTATATTATATTCTACTCGACATCAACAATTTAGATTTTCATGTCAGTGTTTTGCTGTACTTAGAATCAACTGAAACCACTGAAGGGACTGAAATAAGCAGAATTCATCGACGGCATCACATAAATAAATGTGTACACGGTTCAGTCAATATTTCATTAATCCCATTAATCAAGTGGTGATATCAAAAAAGTCATCATCAAGTTCAGCTCATATGTCAAATGTGAATCAGTGAGCAGGCATATCGGACTAGACCAAGTTGTCTTGAACAGTGAGTACACTAAGGCTGATATATAACCAAGATTGACTTTACTGTTCTGTCTGAATTTACCCAACTTATTAGCTTGTTGGAACTGTGCCTGAACTTATTTTTTGCATTTCAACGGATAATTGACCTTATTTTCTTTACTGTCCATTTTGTCCCTGTCTATTTGTCTCGTTTGTCCCTGTCCTTTTTGTCCATTTTGTCCTTTTTGTCCCCGTCTTTTTTGTCTTTTTTGTCCCTATTATCTTTTTTTGTCCCTTTTGTCCCTCTTGTCCCTTTTGTCCCTTTTGTCTTTGTCTTTTTTCAGTTTTTTTTGTGCAGGGATAAAATGGACAGTGGTACCCCCCCCCCCCCCTACATTGTATTCGTATACATAGATCACAGGCTATCTATACATCACATCTCCGCAAACAATCCTCGAGCGCGCGCGCAACTTTTTCGTTGCATGGTAACGGACGTAAGGAAGGAAGGAAGGACACACGACATATTTAAACCCACCTATCTTGTTCTCCAAAATCCACGTTTTTCTGCAAAAACCTCCATTCGTAACCTTTCACTATTGCCTTTTTAAAAAAGGGTTAAATGGAAAAAATTGTTGTTAATAACTCAATAGCCCCTACTTGTGGGCACAACAATTCATTTTATTTGGAACTAAAACTGGACTGCCTCTGAGTTTTTTTAAATCCAAGGAATTTTGAGAGAAGCAGGGGCAATGTGATAACCTAACTAAAATTTTACTTCCCGGAAAGAGTGAAATGTGTGTGTAGGCCATTACAACTCACACATCAGGTCATTTTATCCAGATCTGGGTTTTTTTTTTTTTTTTTTTAGAGAGGCTGGGCCTGGTTGGCCCACGAGAGGATAGCATATGAATGCTTTGCCTACCTCTGGGGTATGGCAGTCCTGTGGGAGGATGCCAGTGGAATCAAGATGTGTAATCAAGGATGATGGTAAGTGTTGTGGGGTGTGTCATAGATAAACGCTTAAGTGGTGGTTGAGTGTGGAAGAGAGAGGCGAAATAAGACGGCGTTAAAGTAGTCGCTATGTTACACCTGTCTGGTCCAACTCCTCTGGCACCACTAAGCGTTTAGTGTGGTTTGTAAAGTTGACAATGGTGGAGATGTGTTGGTTGTCGAATATGTCATTGACAGAGAGGTAGTAGTCCCGGAAATATTGACCTCTTATTTGGGCAATAGCCGGGCACTGTCCGAGAAAGTGTGAGACAGTCTCCTCTTCGTCGCCGCATTTAGGACAAGCACTTGTGTCTGATTTGCGAATGGTGTGTAGGTGTTTGTTGAGGCCACAATGTCCCGTGATGAGGTGCACTGCAGTTCTATAATTTTGTCTGTTGTTACTGAGTGTAGTGTTGAGATTTTTGATGATGTTGATGTTTTTATGTCCAAGTGTCAGTTTAGTGTGTCTGGGACCATCAGTAATCCATGATTCTTGATTAAGTTTTGTGACTTTGTCGTTGATCAGGCGTTTGATGTAAGATTGTGGAATTGGGCAATTCAAAGTGGATTCACTGGTTGTACCATTTTTGGCCAGCTCGTCTGCTTTTTCATTACCCCACAATCCAATGTGTGCAGCTATCCATCTGATCTCTAAGGTGTTAGTGGATCCGAGTGTATTGAGGGTGTCGTAACAGTCTCTAGTAGTCCTACTCCTCGTTGAAGGTGAGGATATGGCTTGAATAGAGGAGAGACTGTCTGACCATATGATGATGTGTGTGTTTGTATAAGTTGATAGATATTTACAAGCTTCGATGATGGCAGTGAGTTCTGTTTGATAAACGGTGCAATAATCGGGAAGCTTGAATGATCTTTCATCTAGTGTAGTGTTGTTGTTGTCTGTGGTGATAATATAACCAGCCCCGCTACCTGAGTCTGTGCGTGACCCGTCTGTGTAGCAGGTGATGGTTTCACTGGGGATGTTGTCGATGGTGTTTTGGAGTGAGCCTCTATATCCAATGTTGTCAGCTCCAGGAGTGGTGACCGTGAAGCGTCGTTCAAGCATCATGGTTGGTATAGATAGGTCTCTCTCTGCTTTGGGTGGTATGTTGAGATCTACCATGAATTGTTTGTTGATAGTGGTGTGAGTTGTGATGGTACCTTTTCTGGGGGCGATAGTTTCGAGGGTTAGGCTTCCATAGGCTTGAAGCCTGGCTGTGCCCTTTGCTGCTTCACCTCTCAGGAAAAGTATGATATCTGGAGTGTTAGTGAGGTGGTTCAGTGCGATGAAGGGAGTACTAGGCATGGCACCAGACATCATTCTCAATGCCAATGCCTGAACTCGTTTGAACTTCCTCGCGTTGGTGTCTGTTTGGGTTGCTCTAATCCATATACTACAGCAGTATGATAGAATAGGTCTGATGACAGCGGTGTACATCCATTTGCATGTTTTAGGGCTCATACCCCAAGTGGGGCCGACAGCTCTTCTACATTGCATAAGGGATGCCGTAGCTTTTTTGGTGGTATTGGTGATATGTTCATTGAAATTGAGCTTGCTGTCGAGGGTCACTCCTAGGAATTTGGCAGATTTGGATAGACCTATAGTGGTGTTACCCACCACCACAGGTCTTAGTGTCCATTTCTTATTCCAGGTAAACATGACTATTTGTGTTTTGAGTGCGCTTATGGATAGATCTTTGGTTTGGCACCATTTTTCTATTGTGTTGATGGTCTAAATCATTCCCCTCCGCTAGAGAGAGCAGATCGTCTGCAAAAGCTTGCAGATAACCTGGTATGTCTCTTGCGGTGTAGGCCAGGAGATCATCGACTACCAGGTTCCAGAGGAAAGGGGAAAGGATGCCACCTTGAGGGCACCCTCTCCGGATCCGAACCCTTGTCGACTTATCCTTATGATTTAATGTGATGAATCTGTTAGTTACCATGTTGATAATCCATTGTGCTGTGGCCAGATCCACTTTCGTGGTCTTGATAGCGTCAGAAATAGCCTTGAAAGAGACATTATCAAAAGCTCCCTCTATATCTAGAAAGACGCCTAGGACATATCCCTTCTTAGCTATCCTGCGCTCGATGGTGTGAGTAACTTTATGAAGGGCTGCTTCGGTTGAACATCCTTTCTTAAAGCCAAATTGTCGTTTGTTGATGTCTTTAGCGATATTAAGGTCGTGTTGCATATGCCACAGTATCACCTTCTCCTGTAGTTTTAACATCACTGGAGAAAGGGTGATAGTGCGAAATGACTTTGGTTGGTTGTAGTCAGTTTTTCCAGGCTTTGGGAGAAAGATTCCAAGGGATTCTTTCCACAAAGTTGGAATGTGTTGGGTTTCATGATTTTTTGTCATAATGGTTCTGGTGATGTCTTTGATGTGTGTCCAAGCTTTCTGTATGATGATAGGTTTGAGGGTGTCGGGTCCAGCAGCTTTCAACGGATCGAAGGATTTAAGAGCCTCCTCGATTCTGTCTGGGCTGTAGATGGTATTGAGTAAGGTGGTGGTGATTGGTAGAGGACCAGGTGGAGGCACTGGCGGATCAGTGACACTATCCTTGAAGTGGGTTCGTGTCATGACCTCCAATGTCTCCTCTGCATTTTTGGTGATGTCTCCGTTTGGTTTGTAAACGGCTTCTAGTGTATGTTTGTTGTCGTTACAGGATTTCAGAATCTTATTCATCCTTCCGGATTCCTTAACAGACTCTGTTTCCTGACAAAAAGTTCTCCAGGCATTACGCTGGGAGTTGGTTATAAGTCTGTTGTATTGTTTGTTGCTCTCTCTAAGAGCGAGCCACAGGGCATCAGTCTTCTTTTTGCGGGCAGTAATCAGTTTTTGTCTTATTCCCCTCTGTGCTTCCTCTACTTCTTGAGTTAGCCAGGGGGGTTTGCAGACGGAACTTGAGATGTAAGTAATGGGGCATGCCTCCTCGAAGGCTTCCTTTAGTGCAGTATTGATTATGTCTATTTTGTGATCAATTTCAGTCGTAGTGTTGATTTGTGTGTTGTTAAGGTTGGGGTTATTCGATAGGATCTCATCAAATCTGTCCCAGTCAGTGTTTTTGACTAGTCGGATCTGTTTGGGTTCCTTCTTTGGCCCTGTAGTTATATCGAACATAATATAGCGATGGTCAGAGTTGGAGTAAAGGTCACTAACATGCCAGTTACTAATGAGATCTCCTCCCAACTGGT